GGGACAAAGTGTCCTGTAGCCCCCCCCCCTCATCATCAATATGTTCAACCAACAAACTTTTTTTCATAAATATTACCAACCTGTGAAGAACCTACACACTACCCTACAATAATTGATTTGAGTTTTCGACATTTTTTAAAGTTTTTTAAGAAATACTTAAAGGATTATTTCATAACTTATGAGATGTTTAGTTCATGTGATTTTTTATACTTAGCAATAAGGTTTAAAGCTTTCAGAGGTTTGGGAGACCAACAATAAATCACGAAAGAAAACAAGTATTTTTGACAGAAAATCGAGATATAAGCTTGTAATTTGTACTGATTGCTTAAATTGTTATTTTTAATATCCGCATAAAGTTTCATAAACCTAGAGTGAATATTTATTTAGATATGGACATTTTTATAAACAACAAATATTTTTGCCTTACGTTTTTTTGCTATTACTTATTCAATGGAATCGAACAATATTTTTGGTGCAATTAAAAATTAATTGAATTAAATTTATTATCATTTAATTGAATTTAAAAAAAATGCTAAAAACTGTGCAAGATATAAGTGTTTAAGGTGATTCTTTTATACTGCGTATACATGAAAAAATTTAAAAAAAAATCTTAATTTTGTAGTGAATTGTATTTGGCAACTTATGAAAAAAGCTTGATTTTAAAATCTTAAAAAGTTTCAAGCGATTTTCTAAGTAGTTTTTTCCATTTTTTGAAAGATAGCTCAAAATGATCAGGGATTTCGATGAAATTTCATTTTGTACTATTAAACAAGATTTATTAATAATGAAAGCGACATTGTGGGGATCACACCCCATAAAAGTATGTTTTCTTTCCTTATTCCACCACATTTTGGTTTCCGGACGAATATTGCAAAGTATTATCATTTGTTAAATTTTGCTTTATGAAACCATAAAATTTGTGGAAAGCCCCTAATCGTTTTGAGCTTTCATAAAATATTGAGCTCTTACAAAATACAAAAACTACTTAGAAAATCACTTGAATAATTTAAATTTGTAAGATATTCACATCAATTTTTTGCAGTAGTTGCCAAATCTGATTTGCTACAAAATTAAGAAATGTGCGGATGCACAGTGTCAAAGAACTACCTTCCACACTTTTATCTTGCACGGTTTTTAAAGTTTTAAACAAATAATTTTGCTAATTAATTTTAAATTGCTCCAAAAATATTGTTTGATGCAATTGAATATTTATTAAGTTTTAGCAAAAAAATAAGTTGTTTTATTAAAATGTCCTTATTTCTATAAATATTTACTGTAGGTTTACTAAATTTTATTTAGTTATTTCAATTAATAACTAAAGTAATCCATGCAAGTTAAAAGCATATTGCTTGATTTTCTGGCATAGGATGTATAAAAATATTTGTTTTCTTTCATAATTTCTCGTAGGTGTCCAAAACCTCTTAAAGCTTTAAAATTTATAGCTGGTATTGTTAAATTGCATGAATTGAAGTTAAAAGTCTTAAAGTTAAAAAACAACACCTCTAAAGTTAAAAAATAATCCTTTAAGTATTTCTTGAAAATTTTTAAAAAAAAATGTCAAAAACACTTCTACTTTGTGTGCGTGTACTGTATTATTATATATGTTATATATGATTATATTATATACTGTATTATACACATGTGTATTTCGAATCATGAACAAAAATTTTATTAATATATTTTTTATGATACATAAAGAGTTTGGCTACAGCATGTACTGAATTGTAAATGTAATTTTTTTCTTTACCTAAGTCAAACAAATGAATGAAAAATTATTAAGAATAAATTGCACTTTTTGTTGAGTGAAAAAAATTAGTTTAATGTACTTAGCATTAAGAAACATTTAAATAAAATAAATAATTTCCCCCAAAGATCTGTTTTCTTAAAAATACAATAAAATACTTAGATGTTGAATAACACTAAACTAAATAGTATTTCAAGCATAATTTAACAATTGTGAGCCACAAAAAAGAAATAAACCAACCTCAGCCCTTCTGCTCTGAGCTTGAAAGAACACAGATTCTTTGTGACTACATCTGGGACAAACGTGATCCTCTGTCCTCGGCAAAGTAGGATCATGAATGACATCCGATACGATTTGCGTCAATTCACTACACAAAAGAAAGTTTTAAAAAGCACATTACATTTTAGAAAACAAAAAATACATAGACATTTTGAAATAGTTTGATATTGATTTAAAAACATAAGACATTTAAAATAGTATGATATTGATTTAAAAACATAAGACATTAGAAATAGTATGATATTGATTTAAAAGCATAATACATTTAAAGGTCAGGGAATTACCCTTAACACTGTCTTTAAAATAGATCCTTTAAAATTCTTGGGGGAAAACGAAATAAAAAATGTACCATGTAAATTGTTATTTAAGCAAAGAAAATACAAAAACGTTTTAAAATCTGACCAATTGAAGAAAGAATAATTAAAAATATAAAAACCAGTTAACTCAGTTAACCAGTTAACTCAGGGATTCCTCAATTTTGTCTTTCAAATCCTTCATTTCTTTAAGAAATCAAAAAGGTTTTGTTGTTTTCTACAGCAGTGATTCATTTAAGTTTTACAGTATTTTTACCTCACCTAAATATTAATTTGCAACCACGCATTTGTTTCCTTATATTTGCTTTATTTTTAAAAAGAATCTTAATACAAGTATATTAAGGGTGGGGATTATGGAGCATTATTGATTTCTTTAATTAATTCCTTCTTAATGTTCAGAATTCAGATTTTTGTTAGAAATTTTAAGCCCAACACTGAAAACAAAAAGCTATTTTATACAAAATTTACAACTATTACTTTTGAAAATATGAGTAATTTTTTTTATAATAAGAATAAAGAAGGCCTCTTTATTACCAAAGGGAAGTTCTAAATAAGCTTTTTTTCATTTTAATTTTCTTAAATAACCAAAAGTTGGATATTTGCACCACAATATCTTTCCAAACATGCAAGACAAAATATTTTCAGATAAATTAGGAGATATAGAACAGGCATTAATCAAGAATTTCTAAGAATTTTTCTTGACAATCTGATTTTTGTTTGATTGCTAAATTAAATTGAATCAATTTTATCAATAAAAATGATTAACTTCTTGGACGTAATTGGCTAAAACAGGTTGGCGGCAATGATTAAAACAATGCCAGGCTATAATATTTGGAAAAGAACTCATAATTCGAACACTGACACCAGACTTTTTCCCTTCATGGCAACAAAATGCATTTAAATTTTGTTTTAAATAATTGTTGTCAAATAAAATTCATTTAAAGTCTGCATTAGAATTTCGAAAACTGATTCAGAACCTTACTTTTGCAGTTCAACTAATCTGACAAAGATAAAAGGTGCTTGCAGGAGACAGCTGGAGCCTCAACAATAATATCACAAGTTTTTAATTCCTGTCTCTGTAATTTTACAAAAATTTTATTTATTACCTTGTTGGAAATAAAGTCCACAATTTTGGTTGCTATTTTTCTTGAATAAATACCAAGGTTCCCACTAAAAATTTTTTTTAAAAAACTCAAGGACTTTTCAATGAGTTTTAAGGACCTAAAATCAATTTATTTTTTATTCAGCAATATAGTGAGTATGCTAAAATACATGTAAACCAGATTTCATAATTACGTAGAAGTAGAAATAGTATATTTTTAAAAGCACAATGCTCAGTTGACAAAAAAATTTATTCACTAAATTTATCAAGTAAGTTTACATTGTTTAATAGTTGTAGATTGCTTAATACATATAGCTTACAGCTAGCTCCCAATGCAAAGGTCTAATAGTTATCAGATTATATATATTATTATTGGCTGATAGTTTTATATAGATTAGAATATTGCTGTTTCAAATCACTTTGAAAACTACATAGAACTTTCCAATTGACATTGGATACTTGTGAAAACTGGAATACTGGAAAAACTTTTGAAAACTGGCATCAGACAGTGAAACTTTTCATGAAAATAAATGAAGCAAATTGTATGAAACCAGTGATTAATACTAGGCATGGTTTGGTTCAATATTTTTTATCCCACAATTGATTTCTCCCACACCCTACTTGTATTTTGTCATCCAATCATAATCACAGAAGAGGTAAATAAATATATGGGGTCTTGAACTCTCACTTCTCTGACCTTAACTATCCTTAAGAAAATGACAAATGGATGAATGAGAAATGAAGGAAGAGCAATGATTTGAATTTCTATCAATTCCACTTGAATTTTTTCGTGCTTTTATGCAAGTATGAGTGATTTTAATTTTGAGAAAATCAAATACTTTTTAAGTACTCTATCACAGAATTCAAGGACTTTCAAGGTTTTACAAGTACCATGAGAACCCTGAAAGCCACTATTCAGTTCATTTTGTATTTGCAGATCAATCTTCAATGTCCGAGAATAGACGATAATGTTTGGTCAAACTGTACACAGTAATAAATATAGTTGACTGAATTTTTCATTAATTTTAGCAAAAACTTTGCATATCGCATTAATTTTTGACTGTTTAAAGTTGTTCTGACATAAGTTGAAATATTTTGAAATAATGTTTTTATTTTATATTTATAACAGTCGTTGAACACCCAACCCAATTTTTGAGTTTACGACTACTAATGTTCAACTCTGTACCCTTGTAATTTTGAACCAATCCAGAAGACAAGGAAACTCCTGGATCAGTATCCCTAGACGTATCATTTGCTATGGGAAGATGGCTGGACACAAACCAGACTGATTTAACGTGCATCAGTCACTATTTACTACATGAGAAGTCTGCGGTCGGCAGGAATTGAACCCACGACCTCTTGGACATGGACCCAGTGCCCTACTTCAGGGGTAATTGTGAGCCCAGCTAAAAAATCCTATAAATTTCTTCAATGAAATCATTAATGGCATATTTCAAAAAATTAGTGTCTTTATAAATTTAAATTATTGACATTTTCACAACATGAAATTCTAAATAAATTAAATGCAGCATAATTTAAATTAATAATTATATATAGTAAGTTTACTTATATCTCCAATCACATTGCTTATTCTACCAGAAAAAATATTTACAAATGAAAAAGATGCCAAGTATAAATTCTAGTTCCAATATTTTCAAATAAAATAAATAAGAATTTTTATACATAAAAGTGATGGATGATTTCTTGAAGTTTCTGGACGTTCAATTTCCAAATCGCGGTTAGAGGGTAATCCGGAAATCTGGATTTTTCCCGGAGTCCATCTCTTTTCATTGTAACGATGCTTGCTGATTCTTTTATATGTTTCTTGATAGCTCCACTTGGCAACTTTCCATTCTTTAGCCACATGAATATCCCTGGCTTTTGTGATATCCAATTTGTGACAAAAATCACACCCCGATTTCCCTTTTGACTATAAATTCCTAAGATTTAATCTTTTTGGAAAAATATTGAAGCATTTCTTGTGTCCAGCATTAAAGAAGATTAATTTTGTTTTTCTAGTTAATATTTCATGTTTTTTATGTACTGTCTTGGTTTTCTGTCTCTTTTTCCTTCAACCAATTCAAATCAATCATTCAGATTTTTTGGAGGAAAAAAAATCCATCTAACTTAGTTGTTTCTTTATTTTCAATTAAGTCAGAAATAATTGCTAGAATAATTGTTGAAATATGCACAGTACAAATCTACATTATATTTATTCCTGCAAAGTACGAATGGTATAATAATAATAAAAACCAATGGCACAAGTCATCAGTTTTTTTTATTAGTTACATGTGAATAAACTTTACCTTCAAAATAGATCACTTTAGCTTACTGTTCTGCAAACAACAAAACAAAAAAAGAAATGCTTCTGAAAGTGTGAAGTTAACTACACCAACATCAAACGTATCATCTTCCTCATACTATATGAAGTGATTTAAAAGTAACAAAACTGTCGTAACGAAAGGGTTAAAGCTTATGTTTTTTCCTGCTTTCTGAAGACACTAACAATAAAATTATCAAGCTAAATTTTTGTTACTCAATGCTAGAAGTGACAAGTAATTATGAATATGTAAAAATTGAGCATTAAGAATAAAGAAGAATATTCTATGGTAGTTGCAGTTTGGTTTAGAGAATAAGATATCTCTAATATCTTTATCAGAAATTTAAATTAAAAAACTAGAAAGATATTAAAACTAGAGCAGTATATTCCCCAGCTAAAATTTAAAGATAATAAACTAAGTCATTTCTTTTAAAGATTTTTCAATTAAAAAAATTTTTTTTTTAAATACTATGAGTTAAAAATAATTATAATAGTTAATATTATATAATTGATATATTTCTATGAAAATAGTTAAAATTTGTATTAAATATGATTAAATAATATGTTATGGAAAATTAAAATAAATACAAAGATAGTAAATTTAAAACAGATTCTTCTATCTAAGTGATTTTTAGCTGAATTAAGGACAAAACTTTTTCTAAAAGGAAAAGTTCAAAATGAGTATATGATGTCTAGTGTAATTTTTATAGAGTCTCCTTTCAATAACAATAAATGATTGATAATAGTTACAAATTACATTATGATTTGTGAATAAGTTTTTAGCTGAATTGAGAATGGTTAATTGACTGTTGAAGACAAGAAAATTAAATTATATATTGAAAGAAAAATCATTGAATAAATGCTTTACCTATATGCAGACAAGATAGCACATTAATGTTAAGATAATACTAATATGATAAAAAAAACCAACATTTTAACTAATTTGATTAATCTTATTATTTAATTAACTAATTTGATTAATTGAATAATAAGAAGTGTTCAACAATACACAAATATGAAAAGGCAGCAATTAAAGTTAAAGAAGAAAACATAAAGTTGAAACTTTTTTTTCGTGTGTAAAATTTTACAGAAACTAACTCTTATTTAATTTATACTTAAACCATCAGATGATTAACAGGAATTTATCGATTGCTTAAAAAGTAAATAAAAATAATTACAGTATGAATATATAAATGAAAAGTAAACTTGGTACAACTGTATCAAGAAAGAAAAAGGCTGATATATACATGTAATTGTTTTAACATATTTTGAATATAGCAAGTAGTTGGGAATCCGAAATAGTACTTTAAAATCACAGAATATTTTATTTAATGCAAAATAGAGCCAGGTCCTCGATAGATAGCTACATTATGCTAGTTGGATTGAGAAAGACATGACCTTGGTGAGGATTTTTATATCTTTCTGAACAATGTATTTAAATATTTATAGAACTTAGTAACATGAAACTTTCCCATAACACATCATCACATTTTCGAAAGTAATTAAATCAATATTAATACACTCTTTGTGAAAAAGGTTTTAATTAACTGACTGCACATTAAATATAATCTATTTATAGAAAAAAATATTTCTATATTATATTCTCACACACTCTATATTCTGGTCAATATAAACATAAACTTGTAAACAGTATGACAAAACAGTTTATATAACACCAAAATGTTATTTGATTATGTTATGATAAGTTTATAATAATCAAACAGTGTAGTGAATGTAATAAGCAAAAATTATACTAAATTTGTAAATGTTTTATCACAAAAACAATTATTTGAATTTTTATCATTATTTTCCTTCAGATTTAATGATTTTTTATGATGTCAAATACCATAACCAAATATCCATTTTTTGTGGATTTTTTTTAAAAACAAAATTAACTTGTCAACTAACTTTACTTTCAAACAGGGTTTTTTTTACACATCCAGTGAAATTAATATCTATAAAAAGTTTCAGAATACAAAGACATAAAGAATTACAGCATCACTTTAGATCAAAACTTGTTGAAAACTAATTAAATTTTCATTTTTAATTAGAAATCTTACAACATAAGTAACAATGTTCACTAAAATCAATATCTGTTGATTATTTGACTATAATTTAAATGTTACTGTCAAACAAAAATCTTGCATCAGTAAGAACAATAAATAGATAAAATAAAGAATTGTTTTAAAGTATAAAATACATTTAAATTCCACTTACTCCACTTCATGGGTAATTTTATTGACATAGATACAATTGTTAGTGGTCACTTCTTGATAGTCACAGTTTCGGCACTGAAATAAAAATATCATACATAAATAACGTGTAAAAAAACTTTCACAAAATACTAGAAGAAGTAGAGAAACTGGGAAAATCAAGCACAGGGTTCCCACTCAATTTTGGAAAAAAAAATTCAAGGACCCATTCAGTATGACGGTTAATATACTAAAGTACACGTCAACAAGATTTTATAATTACATTAAAGCAGAAATTGCATATTTTCAAAGCACAAAGCTTATTTGACAAAATAATAATAATAATAATAATTTAATTTATCAGCTACTGATGCAAATGGTTGACAGTTATATTGCTACTTCAAATCACTTTGAAAAATTTCAATTGACATAAATTGACTAAAAAAACTCCAATTGACAGTAGCGAACATTTAAAAACTAGCACCAGTGAAACTTTTCATGAAAAATTTGATGAAGTAAATTAGAATTAATAAAAAATGAAATTACATTAAACAAGCATAGTAAATAATTAATGAAGTTTATGTAATTGCATGGTTATAAAAATATAAATACTTTTTTTAAAAAATATGCTAAATTTAAATTTCAGGTTACAGGAAATGTATATAATTAGATAAAATATCAAAATATATCCATTTAGCACATCTGTTTCAATTTTAATAACACATTATCGATTTTGTTACTTTGGAATATCAGTAATGTATTTTAAACACAATAAAATCTATTGTAGAACAATATTTTACAGAAAACTAAGTAAGAAATATGAAGCTTTATTTTCTTTAAAATAGATCCAAAAAATGCGAAGCAAGATTTAAAATTTTATGAACATGCAAAATCTTTAAAAATCACATTTATACAAATCTAGATATACTACACGTAAATCAAAATTATAAGAAGGGTGAAGTAAGCCTCGAAGTTTGAGTAAATCATGTATCACAATGTGCTATTTGTAAACTGAAATCGAATTGTGGTGTATGTTTCTTAATCAGAACAATATGAATATCAGATATAACCAAACACAGGAACTAACAAGATGTAAAACATGTGATTAGATAATAATTGTGATCATTATGAGGGAAATTGTAATTTGTTGCCTAAAAGTTACTTATTTTAGAACAAATCTGCGTGATTCATAAATCATTTTGATGAGAATTGCAAGCACTAATTCTTAAATCTCTTTTATATGAATCGCAATGCATAATTCTCAGATCCTTCTAATACCATGTAAACTACTTGAATAAGAATTTTGATGCACGATTCTGAAATTACTTAAATACATATCACGTTACATGATTCAGAAATAACTTTAACTGAAATCATGTGTGTTTGATAAATCATTTTTTAATGTGAATCATGATGTGTGACAAAAACTAAAAAATGCTAGAAATTTCAGCTTTCTAAACATTAGAAATGAACGATAATCTGGAGTGAAAAATCTAGGAGAGAAAATTTTTGTATCTTCTTTGACCCCTTTTCACTTCAACATTAAAAATTGCATCTACCAGAATTTCTATAATTTTCGTCTAACATATTATTTTTTTACTGCTGTCTTGTAAGAAAGATTAGTATCATTTTAATTCCAAAAAATCAAGTAATTTTCAAGTACCCTGTGGCAGAATTCAAGGATTTTTCAGGGCTCTGATTTTTTTCAACAAAATTCAAGGTTTTTCAAGTACTGCGGGAACCCTGAAGTAACTATCTATGGTTTAATTAATATTTTTTTCATTTATTTATTTCAAAGAAAAATACGATTAAATATAGTTATTTCTTGACCCTGTGGCAGAATTTTTTTGAGCTATCTGTGACAAAACTCTCTAGCACTAATATCTTTCTGCAAGATACTTTAATAATAACAAAAGCGCCGCGTTTTCAAAAAAGATAAATAAATTAAAAAAAGTATAATTTTTTTAAAATTCCAACATATCAGAAATTTTTTATTCTAATATTATGGGTGATATTCTCAAATTTTGTTGAGGGAGGGGGAGCTCCCAAATTATTTTCTTTTTCTCATTTTGTAAATAGATCATGTAATTGCTGGAAAAAAGGTGGACAACGAAATCGCGCAAATCGGATTTCTCAAATGTGTTTCATTTCGAGATTAGGTTGTGGCAATAAAAAAATATTGGACTTAGAAACGAGAAATCAATTGCAATAACAGCCAAAAATTAGATAGAATTATTGCCTTAGAAAGAAAGTAAATACTCAAACGCATGATTCGAATTTTCTATATTGTTTGAAAGATACCGGGATATTTAAAATCCACATGAAAATCAATAGCTGCAGAAAATACAATCAAAACATTACATTGATTTATGATACTATCGGGGTAAATTGAGCTTGTCAAAAAGTTATTATCTAAATGTATGGTTCAAATGTTACGTGTAAATTTTTGTAAAAAATAAAAAAAATTTTAAAAACTTTTTGAAAGAACAGCATTCTGTGACAATGTCCCCGTGATTCTGCCATGGGGTTTCTTGATGCTTACGATTTCTATACTGAAATGTTAGACAGAGTATCTACTACATTTTCAAATTCATCACATTCCATGATTAATTTCTAGAATTTTACATGACTTAACGAGGTTACTATTTTCACTAAAACTACTATTTTACAAAAACACAACAATAAATTAAAAAAAGCATTATAATAACATTAATTGAAATGATAGGTATAACCGAAACTGCTATACTCTGCATCTTCATATTTATAGATTTTAAATTTAAAAAACAGAGCAAAGAAAGAGTTGAAGCAATAAAATGGCTGAAAAAAATACAAAAGCAAATAATTTGCCAATGACTGGCTTGCTTTAGCTAGAATTTTAAATTGATAAAAAAAAATAACAATAACAATAATTCTGAAATCACAGAAGTTTAAAAGATAATTCGCTCTAGAAATAATGTTTTTTCTTTCATATTTTGAAACACCATAATTTTTAAAGAAAATGTTAAAAACATTTTATATTTTAATAAAATATGGGTCCATGATTTTGTTACAAATTCAGATATTCGGAGCACCATGAAATTGGAGGTGGGGCAAATTTCATTTCAAAAATTAGATTTTTTGGCGACCTAAATTGATGAATTTCCATGACTTTAAAAAAAAAAAATAGTTAAAAACATGACAAATTTTGTTCAATACGAAAATTCACTGCTTTCCATGATTTCACATGACTTTCCAGGCTCACAGATACCCTGGTTAGAATATAACTTATAAATAACATGCTGAAAAAAGAAAATCACTTAGAAAATGTTGCAGAAGAAACTACCTTTTATAAAATATTACCTTTCTATGGTGCTATTTATATATTCTTATTCATTTAATTAAAAAGAAAAAATACATCCATAAAATCAAGCAATAGCAAAAAATCTAAACATTTTAAAATAGACTTACAGCATACAAAAGAACTTTATTTTCCTTGTCTTCCCTCGGATATAACATGTTGTTACTAAAATTCAGAAAAAAATAGTATTAAATTTATGATACAAAATTAAATACATAGTATTAAATTTTAACAATAAAAGAAAAAGTATGCAAAAAAAGAAATTGGGAAACAACATTAAGCAATTAAATTGAAATAGAATGTAAAATATTATTTCAAATTAAGATAGAGTAAGATGGAGATAATTTCTAAACTTAAATTAAAAACGGAGATCTTAACATTTAAATTTAGAAATTATCTAAGAAAGTTTTAATGTCAACAGGTACTGAGTACCTATAATTAAAGAAATAGCCAATAATTACAAAGAATCCCACAATATTTTTTATAGATATTTTAGGAAAAATACATCACTTTATTTAAATATATTGAACCTGTTATTGGGAAATTTTCATATACATCTGAAATATTTATTTTATCAAGTAAAAAGAAGTTTCACCATCAACAAGTGGTAATGGACCCCACTTGTTTGTATGACAAAAATATTGTAATAAATCAATATTTGATCTAAAAACAATTAAATGGAGACTTAATTTGCTATTTAAATAAAATATAAAATTACATTACCAATATTATTTATACAATATTTTTGTCATACAAATATGTTTTCTAATAAAATAAAAAATTGTTCTGGAAAAATCATTATGCATATGCATGGCAATAAAACTTTTTTACGTAGCCACCTCCTCTATTTACGACTACTTTTGGGAAGCACAGAATTTTTTCTATAGACTTAATGTTGAAGAAATCCTTTAAGAGAAACTATTAAAACCTCTCCCAGCGACTGTTTAAAACCTCTGCACAAAATGCAGAAAAGGTCAAATAAGGAAAAATATCAAAACAAAAAATATTAATAAAACAAAATAAGTAGATTAAACTGAATTCTAAATATTTGTGTGATATTCTAATTTAGACAATCTTCCTTTTGACAATCTTCGAAAGAGGTCTTAACAACCTCATGTTGCAGTCAAAGTGCACTTACGACAATGAAATCACTAATTTAGAGTGGAAAGTTAAATTAGAAAAAAAAGTTACTACAGAAAAAACTAAGCATCTCAAACAAACCTCCTTTCATTTTTTAAAGCTAACTAATATTTATGATATAAAATTAAATGCAAACTGAAACAAAAAAAAAAAACAAAAAAATAATAGCTTACTTATTAAAAATAATTCTATCATTTATTAAATGGTAAATTTGTCTTTACACATAATTATATCAGTAAGGATACTTTCATATTGATGATAATTCTAATTTTCACTACGTCAACAGAAGTGGCATTTCCGAGGCAAGAAAATAACACACAGAAATTTAAAAGATAATTCGCTTTAGAATGATGTTTTTTAAAGAACATGGCCATAATTTTTAAAGAACATAATAAAACATTTTATATTTTAATAAAATATGACTGAGTAGGGATTTTGTTACAAATTCAGACATTTGGAACCCCATGAAATTGGGGGGCGGGAAAAATTCTATTTTAAAAATTAGATTTCTCGGGAACCTAAACTCATGACATTTCAAGACAAATTTTTTTCAAAACCGATACTCATGACTTTCCATGATTTCTCATGACTTTTCAGGTGTGTTTCAGACTTGTATGCTAAAAAAAAAAAAAAAATAAGTAGAACTTTGTTCAGGGGTGGGTATGAGTCATACTCTAACAGTTGGTCCCTTTCTGCGGCTTTTTTAAAGTTTCTCTTGGGCTGCAACATGGCCATTATTTTATGAAGATCTTTTCCCACAACAGTTGAGGTAAAAGTATTTAAGGAAAGTTGAACTGACAAAGTAATATTTTTAATTAATAAAATTGAATCACATAGTTTAACTTGCAGACATAGAATTACTTAATGAAATGAACAAATAAGTAATATCTTGTCAAATAATACAGTCATAAGATGATTACCATTCTTGACAGAACTTGATACCAACAAAACCGGGTCCACCTGCGCTAACTGGTCCAGTTTTCTGGCTAAAACTTAAAACGAGCTTGTTTTAATATCAGAAATTTAATAATAACACTGTTGAAAACAGAAATATTGATCATCAAAATGAAGCATTTTTTAAAAAATAAAAATATAATCAAACCGAAGAAACGTTTTACTAGTTAAGCATATTACAACCCTTATTGAGTATTAAACAAATAATTCCAAGAAATTGAATCGGTATGATATGACTTGATTAAAAACTTCACTCACTTCAAAAATATATAATTATTTCCAACTTGTATGATGCGAATGAAGTTTTGAATCAAGTAATACCTTAAGTGAGTAGTTACAGAAATTAATGGATGGATACAGAGAATTTTCTTTCCAAAATATGTCTGAAGTACTCACGACATTTTGAAGGGTTATTAGTAATAAATTAGAATTCGGGACGAGGTCTTCTAACAAGTATTGACAAAACAAGCTGATATTTACTTGGTATTTATTTTAGTATAGTTCGCTTTTATCTTCTTGTTTCTGCCCAGCTTTACACTAATTTAACTTATTTGTTAATTTGCGCTTGTAATCTTCTGCTTTAGAAGGATATTGTATATCTCTGAAAAAATTAATATCTTTCATGAGAAGCAAGTTAAAATCGTGTATTGTTTCAGTTAAAATTTCAACATTTCAGTATCTTAAATAAACTTTTCTAAGTTTAAATATTCTTACAGCATTTAAATATAAATTCCGTTTTCTTGAGCAAGGTAGCGTGGCCGAGTGGTCTAAGGCGCTGGTTTTAGGCACCAGTCTGTTAAAGGCGTGGGTTCGAATCCCACCGCTATCATAAGTATATTTTTATAAATTTGTGTTCTCATAAACCATTTAAAACAAAAAAATTAAATACCAATTTCTCAAATTATTAGTTATCTGGAAGATTATTTCTGTCTTCATTTATCGCAAACTTACACAAATATACCAATTTAAAAAAGCAATATATTAAAAAAATTAAGTCATTCAATTAAAATTTTTTGACTTAAGATATTTAATCTCTTAAAAAATACTATCATTATTTTTCAGAATATTAATACATTTCATCATTATTTATGATGAATTTTTTTGTATATAAATACTCAACTTTTGGAAATGCTTTAGATTTTTTGAAAAAAACCACCCCAACTTTCAAAATATTAATAATAATAATAGTAATTAGATGAATAAGGGAAAAAAATAAGGGGTAAAAAACTTATTAATAACTATAAATAGTAATAAATTGCATACTATAGTAAATAGAAACTAACTATAACTTGTTATTTATATTTATTTACTTATTTTCTATTTTTATATTATAATAGTGCATGCACACGTTTAAGAATTTTTTTCTTCGAGAGATTAAGTAGAAATTCACAGAAAAGAGAAAGATACAGCGTATTTCGTATTGTATGTAAGGAATATAAATCGAATTAAAATTGTATAAAAATTATTATTAATAATTATTTTATTACAAAAATTATTATAAATTTTGATATTAAAATTAATATCAAAACGAAGAATGGCATTTTTTCCTCCAATAGAAACGCTTTTCATATTTATGTGCTCCATAAATTTTTATCTGATTTGAATAAAAATTTCGCAACGTATATTATTTCGTGATTTAATATAAGTCCAGTCCCGCAGTGGACTGATCGTTAAGACACGGTTCCCAGCAGAGCAGATCACCGAAGTCAAGCATCACTGGCTACGGTCAGTGTGCGGTATTGGTCCTCGTTAAACTGTGCTACCGTAAAGTGCTCGACTTCGCGCGCAGGTCGTCGGGCCACCGAAACGGGGGGGGGGCATCCCCTCCGCAGAGGATCAAAATTGTGATGGCATGTCTTCGGATCATCCTTCGGGATGTTTCCCAGACCGTCGCCAATAGCCCATTGCGCAGCTCTAGTGCGACGTAAATTAACAACAACAATAATATAAGTCCAATAATTATTTATTAAATGTAGTTTTTTATATTTATTTCTTATTTTATTTATTTATATAATCTTTTTTTTTNGTTTCAAAGGTTTGGCACAAAAACTGATGAACCCAGATTATTAAGTTCTTTATCTATGCAGCTATTTTATTACATTTCCTTAAAAATACATTGATAAAATATAAATACATATTTTTTTAAATATTGGAAGAAAATTTCAAAAGCTATTGCGGCCGTTGTTAGTAGGCGTTACAGGAGAATAATCAGTCATTGCTAGTTCAGTAAACAAGTTTAGTTATTTATTTAACTTCGACGGTTTTATTAACTAGCTTTCATGCGCATGTGGGTAGAATTATGCAAGCGAAATTTTGATCACTTTACTACTAAAACTACTGTAAAGAGGTTCTGGACTTGGACTGGCACGGACTCCTGATAAAATTTCCATCAATTGTTTTTCATTGCTTTTAAACAACCGTTAGGTTGTTATTATTAATAATAATAAATGCACAGTTTATAAGGTATAAAAAATGACAGCGATCTGCTCAAGAGCGCCGGCAGAATAATATAAAAGGGGGTGCAACTCTCTAACAAACTATCCCCCCCCCCAAAAAAAAAGCGAATTTTTTTAAAAAAAATATTCTGTTATTACATTTTGTTTTGTTATTACATATACTTTCTTCTGTTAATTTTTTTAAGATAGATTTCTTCATTGTTAACAAGATATTTTTTAAAAAAAGTACGAATGAATTTCTTGTACTTGCAAATTTTGCCATGAGAAACTGTATTGATGGCGCTGGCATAGCTACTGACTTCACAAATAACTACAAACAGTAGTTTCGTATACTAACGAGTTTCTGCATGCTTTACATTGGTATTTATTGCGTTGATGAAGTTTTACAGTTGTGAGAAGTCAGTTTGTGTTATACACCTTTGTTAAGCGAAATAACTAATAGAAAATATAATATTACTTATATTTAATTAAATGAAATTTAAAAATATATCTTAGATATCTGCCAAGTTTGTGCATGCTCAGTGTGCAAAAGAAAAGAATCAAAGATGACTCAGAATTTATTGAGAAAGTTATAAACAGATTTGGACAAAAAACAAGACGATTACAGTTCTTGTTTTATTAAACAATTTTTTAATTGTTATGTATCAATAATTACTTAATTATTTGCTTTTCAATAAAAATATGTTTAACCCTTTGGTTGCGGCTGGTACAGCATATGTACCGGTAGAAAAAACTTCTTTTATTGCGGCGCTGGATCAACAGTTGTACCGGTGGTTCTCTTCCCCCTTNCGCAACTAAAAGGTTAAAATTTTTTTTTTATAACAAAATTGTTTTTCTGTGTCTCTTTAATTGTTTTAAAAAAAACCCAGGGGGGTGCAAGTGCACCCCCTTGCACCCTGCTGCCGGCTCCCTTGGATCTGCTTCTGTTCAGTGCTTTTGTTTTGTGAGGCAAACACTAATTGTCAAATGACTTTTATTTAGCTTAAGAATTTGAATTTCTTTCCTAAATTTTGTTTTAGTCATCTTAGAGATTTAGTCGACAGTTTCTGACAATTCTTCTTCGATATTTCTTCAGATTTTTCCTTTTGTTTCAGAGGTTAGTAATAAAAATGGCTTGAGTGACTGGCTTCCTAGTTTAGACAACTAAGGCCAAGTGGCAAAATCGCGAATCTTAAAAAGAAAAAGAAAGCATGAAGAATTAATATTGCAGTAAAAACAAAATCATTTTGGTATATTAAACTCTAAAAAAAAATTTTTTTTTGTTGCTAGATTTAAATATCTTTGGGACCAAAAGTTTTCAAGATTATATTAATTTAGAATATCTTCATATTTAATACTAATACGTGTGTGCTGGTGAACCCTGTATGTATTTTACTGAGTTGATTAAAATTTCATTTACGATTCTATATTAAGTAAGTAAAGTACTTCTACATAATTCGCGAAATACACAAAATTTAATAATATTCTTCGGAAAATTTCTGATACAGGTGCAATTCTTCATAAAAGGTGAAACTGAATTAAAAAAAAGCATAAAAGAGATAATAAAGATATTCGAATGTCAAATTTGAGAGAAAATAAAACTTAGGATAAAATCTAAATACCTGACTAAAATCAATAACTTTTTTTTTCCAGCTGTGTAAATCCTTGTCCACGACGTAGGTTTTGTTTTTAATTTTAGTATTTTTGGAGCAAGTTACAAGTAATATAGCTTCTTTTTTGCCAATAGTTTGAAATGTTAAAGAATTTATTTCGTTATTTATTAAAATTCATTTATAATTCTGATTTTGTCTAGGCTTTAAATTAAATAATGAAATTTCTAAATACGCGAATATTCATCACGGTAAGTATATATTTATAACAATAATCAGTAAGTTTTACATTGCATGATGCTTGTTTAGGTGATCAATGTATGACGATTATTTATCATAAGGGTCTGAGAGACCACAAAACTTCTTTAGGTATCACTTGTTAGTTATGTTTTTTTGAGCTTTTTTTCTCAAGCGCTTTAAGTTAGAATCAGTCAACTTGTATTGGCAGTTAGGCCACATTACACCCCTTCCAGAATTTTATCTGTGATAGAATTCGATGAACGGATACCACTAGTTGATATACGCTGTTTTTTTATTTAATTATTTTTTCATTTTTTTTAAATATTTTTTTTAATTATTTTTTGTTATTATTTATTTGTATTTATATCATATTGCTCATTATATTTTTTCTTCATTTTTTTGTTCATAGCATTTCGCTCATTATTTTTTTCTTCATTTTTTTTTGCTTATAGCATTTCATTCATTATTTTTCCCCCTTTATTTTTTCTTGTTTATAGCATTTCGCTCATTATTAAATTTCTTCAATATAGCTTATTGACCGGGATACATAATTTACTTCACCGGTTTTTTTTTCTTCGAGCAGTATATATTTTTAAGCAAATCGAATGGATGGTCCACATTAAGGACCATAAATCAATGTTGGGCACTCCGCAGGTCACCCTTGATGAGATTTAATTATCGACTATGTCAACCTTCATCTATCAAAAGGTAGCTCAAGATAGAATCAAGTTATAAATAATAAATTCAAGTTGTAAATAATAATAAGCGAAAAAAATAAAAAACGAATGAAACAGTACGACATTAACATCAGCCACCACAGAGCTTAACGGCTTCCCTTAAAAAATTTTTTGAAAAAAAAAAAAAAAAAAATCCAAAAAATCAACATATTTTTTTTTTTCATCAAAAAATGTGCATAACATAATACACAAGTTCTAAGCTGAAATTTTAATTTTTTTCATGCGTAAAAAATATTTCATTTACCATCAGTTTACTATCCCAAATGATTTCGGGCAAATGAAAAAATTTCTATATTAGTCTTTGTATGTATACACATCTTCATCATCTAAAAAAATTATCTGCCTTACTTTCGCTCGTGAACGCCATTTCTTTACTTTTTTTTCTTCCTACGCAAATTCCTCAACCATCGTATATGCAATTGTACAAAACACGTCTGCAGTTCCACAAATAGCTAAAACTCCCAAACAAATATCGGTAAACTTCCAATCACAGCAGATTATTATTATTTTTTCGTTT